CTGAGCGGAGCGCACACGCATAGAGCGGGATAATACGCAGAGCGTCACACCACGTGAAACCTGAGCGGTGAACTAATTTTCGGCAGCCGGAATTTCGGTGTATCTCTAATTATTGGCGACATCAGAAATGGATATTAGTGCTGGGCGGTATGACCAAAAATTTATATCACGGTATTTTTCTAAATGATACCGGTTTCACGGTACATGCCGGTATTTTTTTTTCATGCATGACCGGGTGTTAACCATATTTTCTGATTGAGAGAGGAAATACTGCAGTATATTGACTTAGAATGCCCTATTTTACTGTCATGATGAGTGAATATTGTCAAAAAATATCACACTAAATATTGACTAAACACAACCCCTTTTAATACATGTTAACCAGGAGTCACTCTCATTTATAATCGCGGCGAACTTTCACGCTTAGTAACACATACAGCTGTTCCCTCACTACAGTGCAACAGTGAAAAGGGTCCCCTTTCAAACAGTGTTGCGTTCCGAACGTTGTTTAAGCAACATACACCGGTATTGCGGTATTTTAAAAATTCATATCATAACAAAAATAAACACCGGTATTCTGTATGAACCGGTATACCGCCCAGCACTAATGGATATTATATAATAGATGGTTTTTTTGAACATTTTAGCAATTTAAAAATATTAAAAAGAGATCTTTTACACGGCACCCCTGCTCTCGACAGATGGCACCCCGGTTGGGAAACACTGCTTTATACCATGTATGTAGCATTTCTTATTTATTTGTTCTACTGTAGTTTTTTGTCCTATTGCTTGTAATTAGTTTCTTATTCTTATTTAATCATTGACTGTTTACTTGTCAGTGATTAAAAAACTCAACCAGAATAAAGGGAGATGGTTGGTCGACAATTGCGGTGGGGCAAAGTAAGACTTGTATCGTCATCCAAAAAGCCAGTCTTTCTGAGGCAGAGCAAGTTGTTTAATTTTTAGGTTTTTAACAGTCATTAAAGTTTAAAAAACAAATAACTTCAGATTGCGATATCTCCCATTCGGAAGGAGGACACCTGTGTTTTCTAACCACAGTCGGGCAATGGGGAACAGCCGTCCAACACACGAGCGAGTACAGACCTTTCAACCTCCCTAAGGAAGGAGCTAAGGCCATGTGTCTTGACGATAAGGCCCGTGTACGTGTGTGTGTGCGCGTCTGTAAGAGCGAACGTGTGTGCACACACTCAGGGTGACCCACAAAAGCAGGACGAGATAGTACTATCTGCTTATGTTAATTAGTCTTTAAGTGGTTGAGGAGGTGGCAGCAATGTCTTTCTCCCTAAAAGTGCCCCGTCCTACTTAACCTACTCCTATCACGATTAGGCCCGCTCATTCAAACACGCACTGCACGTGCACCCAACATAAATGGCTGCGGGATCGCGTAAATTGATTAATCAGCTTCTAAATGGATGTATAGTGCTGTAGCTAGCGTGACCTAGAGACCAGCGTCGCTCTTTAAAAGCGCTATGAGCTAAAGAACCGATAACGAAAAAGTGAAAACGGAACTTGAAATTTTACAAGAGCGTAATACCATAAAGCACAATACAATTAAATATGATACAAAGGTCTTTTTTGTGCCGTTTAGCAAAGAGTCAGTGTTCAGTAGGGGTGGAGATTAGCCAGTGTGAGGAGACTCTTCTCAGGTTGTAGGATGGAACTTGAATCAAAATCCCTTTGGATGCATTTATATGCAATATTAAAAATAAACGGGGGTAAATTCAATGCCCATGTTCATCTTTTACCTTTACTATTCATACTAATGACCCTGATCTCTGCATTTTGAAAATACTTCATGTAGTTACGGCATTCATGTCATCCCTGGAATGTCTTCAAAGATTCACAGATGAGGGTACCATGCAGAAGCACAGAGTATATCTTGACCATCACGGAATACCCAACATTACTAATAGGATTTCCGCAAACAGCTTGAGACCGTCTACTGCACTGGACAATCCAAATCTATTCATCCTGTTGTCAGAAGTAGCGCAAACACGTGGAGTATGTCAGAAACAGATAGGGGCAACTGTTGATGACTCATCACGCCGCATCTAGTTTAGACAAAAATCACTGATTATAATGGTTTCTATTTGCTTTTTGCGTCACGTCACTCGTGTTTGGTGTAACGATGTGGTATAAGGCTTACAAGACTGAAAAAATAAGCGTAATTACTAACTGGTTGTTCTGTAACAATAATATATCATCTGAAATAATATTACTTTTTGGCTGATTTCAACAATACCTTTCTATACAACAAGGATGGGTGATAAACTACAACATATGGCGATTCATATTTAAATTAATTTCATTAAACACCATTTTTGGTAACAAATTTGTATTAAATCATAAAATAGGGAATCCAGAAAAAAAATCAATGGAAAACACAGAATTTAAGGAAAAATAATAATTTTGTGGCGCCCTTAATTAAAAGTTAGGTACTTTGTGGAGTTTAATTGTGAATAAATAAGTTATGTGTACATTCATTCTCAAGGTATAACAAGCACATGGAAAGGTTTTCATTCAACATGAATGAATATTGTGATAAATATCGATGGGAAAAAATACTGTGATAATATGTTTTGTACACGTTATGTAATGTAATGTTTTTTTATTTGAATATCATGTTTCAATTAGAAACACATGAAGATGGCTGCAAAAACCAATTTTGACTTCAACCATTTGCCACTTGTTTTCAAGCAAGCAACTAAAGATTTACTTAAAGACTAAAGACCCATTGTGAGAAAAAAAATGGCATAATCTCTTTCTCTTCTTTCCATCTGTCTGTACACTGTATCGTTTGTTCCCACTTTTGCCCCCATCTCTTCTCTCTCTCCCACCATCGTTCTCTCTCAATTTCTGTAATTCCGTGTTTGGTAGCAGTAGTTCCGAGGCAGTTCTCAAGAAACAGCACTGGATGTTGTGGTTAAGGTCCAGAGATAGCAGATTGCATTGTGGTCCCACAGCATTGGCATTGTGGCTGGATTTGTCCGGTTTTATGTAAACGCAATACTCTTTTCACCTGAACTAATACAACCAGTGGCGTAAAGCCCCTTACTGCTACCGACGGCATTTTTCTGCTAATCTCTACGGATTTAAGTCCCTTGCACACATACCTCAGGCCAACGACTGATAACCCCCCCCTGGCTCCCCACCCCCTCAGCTCTCTCTTCCTCTCTCTCTCTCTCTCTTTCCTCTCACTCTCTTGTCTCTTTTTCTTTTCTCCTGGATGGCAGCAAAGCAGCCTTGCAAAAAATTAAAGTGATGGAAAGATTTAAGCAGGTGGAGAACGAGAGAAATCATTTTCTCAATCCCATCTCCCAGTGGCAGCAGGAGACGGAGAAAAAGATGGAGAGAAAAAGAGAGTGCGGGGGTCAGGGATTCAGGTAACGAAAGAAAAAGAGACAGAAAGCAGGAAAAATGGAATTCCGCAGCAGTCTAAATCAATTCAAGCTGCTCTGATGTGGTGTACATACATTATCACTGTCATTGGACGGTGAAAAGCGATTGGAGGATGAGTTTGATAAAGAAGAACTAACACACTCTTTCGCTCAAGCTCTTTTGCAGACACACATACGTATACACGCTGTAAAATGGGGTATGAATTGGGTAAACAGAGGCTTTGAGGTGTATTTTCCCTTGTTTGATTTGCACACAGATTCATAGTCTATTGTGTGTGTGTGTGTGTGTGCGCACAGGGGCTCCATGCAAGGAGCAGGATTCCAGGGACAAATCGACCGGAAAAGACGGAAATGTAAATGTAGCTCAGCGATCTACCACTGATCTCAGAGGTACACACACACAAGGACACAAAGACAGAAAGATACACACGCACACACTGAGTTAGTAACGGGGCCAGCTAGTAAATCTATCTGTGTGACTCTCTTGTGTATTGCATTATTGATGCTGCACCTGATAGTCATATTGAATTCATGTGGAAGTTTTATGAATGGCCTATGCGGCCTTATGTAGTTGGCATTCAATGATGAGTACATCATGCAGTTGCATATGCATACGATGCAAAACTGTGTACATGTACACCTTGTTGCCTCTGCATATTGTGCTTCACTCAGAAATATGAGGTTAGAGATATAAAATGGTTGTGAAGATCATTTCATGTTGACTTTAACTAGTTTTAACTAGTTTAGAGTAGCTTTTGGTGTAAGCAGTGAAAGTAGCTTTCAAAATACTGCGTGAGACCAGGGACTTCGTAAGTGCTATAGGGCGTCTTACCAATAAACTTGATTTCTCAAGTTTTGGCTTGTCTTTCTCCTTTTCCTTCGTCTTTTCTTTCTTCTCTCTGTCCTTCTTCTTCTCATCTTTATCTCGCTCCTTCTCCCTTGCCCGTTCCTTTTCACGCTCCTTCTCTCTGTCTTTCTCCTTCTCTTTTTTCTTCTTCTTCTCTTTCTTGTCCTTCTTCTTGTCCTTGTCTTTGCTCTTGGTATCCTTGGGGTGTGGGAATAATTTATCAGGGAGTATTGGTGGCAAAGGGGGCAACATTGATGGGACTCGTAGGCAGGTCTGGGGGCTGAAGAGTGGGCTGGTGGCGCCGACGGCAGCGGCAATGTCTTTGGTTCCTTGAGATATCCTCTTCTCTTCCTTGCCTCGCTCCTTGCCCTTGTCTCGTTTCTCTTTCTCTTTCTTGCTTTTCTCTTTATCTTTCTTCTTGTCTTTGTGCTTGTCCTTCTCTTTCTTCCCGCTAATGCCGTCTCTCCGCTCTTCACCTCCTAGCAATAGCTCCAGCCAGGGCATGTTGTTCTCCTCTACCTGCCCTCGCTCCTTTTCCCGCTTCTTCTCCTTGTTCTTGTCCTTGTTCTTTCCTTTCTCTTTGCCCTTCTCCTTGAGTCTCTCCTTGTCTTTCTTCTTCAACTTGACCCTGATGTCCTTCTTGAGTTTTTTCTTCAGAAGGGTAGCGGTAACAGGGTCTTTCCGTTCCTGGGGAGGTTTTAGAGGTGGCAGCAGTGTGGGAGGTGAGTCAGGTGGGGACGACAGGTAAGTGGGTTCTGGAGGTGAAAGACTTGGGGCCTGAATTGGCTTTTGACCCTGATTGGCCTTTCGGATGACCTCGTCTATAGAGTCATCCATCGTCCAGCGATTAGGCGGGTTGAGATTTGGGGGAACTGGTGGAAGTGAGTGTTTTCCGGTGAGAGCTTGTGGAGGTTTGATGTGGCTTAGCATATGTTTGGGTGCAGGTTTTGGAGGGTTTGGCCCCTCACTGTCTGAGTCCGAGTCATAAGCAAATGGGTCTGATCCATCTCCATCTGCACAAGCCCGTGCAATCACAGCAGCAATAGAGTTCTCAATATCCTCGTCTCCTGTATCATGAGCTCTGAACTGGCCATCACGAGAACTATCATCTGCAGGAGGTCCAGCCCAGCCACGTCCAGTTGCTCCCAAAAGGGCAAAGCTTAGCTTTGGGCTGCGGGGGCTTTTGGGCCTACCGGGTGACCTCTTTCCTGCCTTCTGATTGGTCTTGGGTGGGGTCAACATAAGTGGTCGCCCCAATACACCAGTGGGTGCAGAACCAGCACCTCTTTTGGGTGACTTGTTCTTCTGTCGTGCAGGAGAGGGTGAGGGCAATTTTGGCTTGTGTCCAGGTGTAGGAGGTGCCAGAGGAGGTCGGGGTAATTCGGGGGAGAGGGGAGGGGAGGGGGAATGCGGCATGTGTTGGGAGTTGAGGGAACTGAGAGGTTCCCGTGGCTCATAACTCCATTCGGGGCTAACGCCTGGTTTGCTGCTCAGGCGGGGTCTCTTGGCGGCGGGTAATAGACCCTCAGGCCTGGGACTCTCTTCGCCATGACGATTAAGCCAGTTCTCATCATTCTCCTCTTCCTCAACGTCCTCTTCCTCACCCAGGGAGACCTGCATGGCCTCGGCAGAAGTGCCCATATCTGCAGGAACCGGCTCCTCCTCTTCCTCATCTGCCAGAAGGGAACATACAAATATAAATCAAATGCAACCAGAATTTGCAAAAAGCAAGAACAGAGAGTTGAGAAACAGGATCAGATAACTATGCAAGCCAGACTGAAAACCACTAATTACACACCTGATTCAACCCTGTTTTGTAAATAATACAGATAATAAGAAAGAACATGACAGGAAAAATAAGAAAAGGGGCAATATTGACATATGAACAATATTAACAGAGAGGGAACATCTCAGGGTGGAATGGAGGGTGGATATCAGAGCAACAGATCAAAATCATCCACACCTGATTACACAGCAGAACAACAGAGCGAACAAGATACACACACACAAAATCAGACCCACATCCAAGTGTGGAAGCAATCTCTGGTTAAATCAAACTTTTTTTAATGTCTCCAAGCACTCCAAATGCACGCGCGCACACACTACACACTAGGGTGGCGTGATACCAGTTAACCAGTGGTAATCTGGCCACTGTGACTCTCCGCACCACAATGGATGACAGGAAGTGCAGGCAGAGCCCTCTGACACTCTCTATTATAAATAGTGTAATCTATATGGTAATATTGTTGTATTCTATAAGCACAGAATGGGGATAAGATAACATTGTGACTTTAGGCTTTCTTCCGGCCAGTGGAATGGTAATAGTTATCAAAGGTTATTTGGGAATGACACGCCGGCTGCTCTCTGATTGGCTGGGGCCGGTTATTTATGATACGAATTATGATAAAGATGATGTCTCTTCTGCGTCGGTCGCTCTCCCTCTCCTCGGCCCTCTCGCACAATAAATTGCTATCGTTAATCACGGGAAGGCTTTGTGCCGGCGTGATTACCGCGCCAGCACCGTAATAAGAATTTTTATTTAAAGGAAGAATATGGATTTGTCATCGCCTCCTCCGCATGTAGTAAAGTGACAGTATTTCACAACGCTGACATTTAATTTGTATGGAAAAAAAGGAAAAGCGGCATGGGTGATATTTGCATTTTATGGCTCTATCCTCCATTTCCTTTCTTCCTGGAATAGAAGTACTCTCTCTTTTCTTTCACACAATTGGACGTTTCCATGAAAAAGGTACAAAAATACAGTCTGAAACTCTTAAAAATGAAGTCAATTTTTTAATCCACCAAATGGTCAGTGTAAAGAGGTGCTTAACCTTCAGGAAATTTTGTTCATCGACCTCATGAGGTCAAGCTAAGAAGTTTTAAAATTAATTTCTTCTGAGTTCAAATACGGGTGACTCATTACTTATTTAGGACCAAATTAGTTTGTAGTTAATGACCAAATTATTATTTACCTATAATTCAAGAAAACTATTTGTTTTTAACTTTTTTTTATTAATTCTGGAAACAGTAATAAATTTTATATACATACTATGTGTATAATACATATGCTATGCAGAAAGTGTCCAAATCATTACATAAGTGTCAAAATGGTATGGAACATTACATTATTTGCAATATGATGAAAATCATGCGACAACAGGGTTTAGCAAAGCTAAAAAAATAAAAATAAAAAAAAGGAAATAGCTACATTTGACATTTTTGGTAATTTAAATTAATCTGATTGGGTGGGGTGGATGATATGATGTTTAAAATGTTATTGTACGTCAAACATATGTTAATAGTAATTAATAATAAAAAATAAATATATCTAATAGTCATAGTTCTCAGTACACATGGCTTTTGTGCCTGTAGTAATTTAAAATAAAATAAAATAAACGACATCATACTTAAGACCCACATATTACGTGAAAATCAGTGTGTGTTTGAAACACAGTGCTCATGGGAGGGATTGAAATGAGAGATATCTGCGAATGTGTGTGATCATTTTCAGACATGAGGCCTCTACTCATCCGTCCAGTGGAGAAACAGCTCCGTTTTCACTTGCAACCAGTTTCCCTTTCATCTGATATCAAAAAAATAAAATAAAATAAAATCACCCCCTCCTTCCCATTTCATTTGGCACTGCCGAAGAAAAGCACAGATTTTGTACACTTGCACACAAACACACGGCGCTTAATTGATTGTGTCACTTACAAATGCGAATAAGACTAAAGACAGGGAGTGATAAGGGGGAAAAGCCACTGCGCCAAAAATGGTACATGGGAATGAAAACAAGCTTACACACACATTGTAAAGTAATTAAAATGGATAGATAAGAAAGAGAGTGAATGAGAAGAGAGAGAGCTGTCAATTTACTGGAGACCAATGCCTGATGCAACTAACCAGCTTTCTTATACTGACACACACACACACACACACACACACAAATAGTTAGGTATGGTGTGTGTGTGTGTGTGGGGGGGGGGGGGGTCAACATTAAAAAGGAAAAGTTGGATTAAGGCCTACAGCAATTAAAAGCAGCTCGTTTATTGGGGGGCTCGAGAAGCGGGCTAAACGAGAAGAGATAAGATGCGTTTAATGTTCCAATTCCGCAGTGCGGGACAATTACTAACATCTGAGAGCATAAAAAAATTAAAAAATCAACCTGTAGGAGTGTTTAATGAAGGTGGCATCTACGTCACACAAAGATTCCTTAAACACCTTATACTGGTTTAATTGCAATTATACGTTATCATATTATGAATTAGGAAAAAATAATAATAACAATAATTCATAATAAAGCACAATACTATTTTATCGTCTTTAATTAAAATGTAATAGCTGCTTTGCCTCTGAAATAACTCTTTAATAACTGCTCTCGCTCTGAAACACCGTTTTTATTTTTATTTTTTAACATGACATCATAAAGACCATATCAGGATAGAAGCAAACCTCAACAACTGACTGCAAACTGTCTTTTTTTTTTACTTTTCAATTCCTGATGAGAAAATTCAGGTTCTATTTATTTATTTATTTTTTACTTAGATTGGATTGCGAATACAGTTTCATCATAAGCGTGCACAAGAGTTTTCCTTCATAAAATGATCTTGAACTTTTGTACACTATTAACAATCTAAACAGATAATTAATTATATAATATATATATATATATATATCATATAACTAAAATAGAATTATTCATAAACATGTTATGTATAAACAGATCTGCTACATGTCTAAATTATGTGAAAATCAGGTGACAGTATCTCTACTAAATATTATCATTTTTAAACAATCTGTATTGTTCTCAATAGGCTGACAGTAAAAATTATTTATACTTATTATTTCTAATTCAAACTGTACACTCTTTTATATTAGGTTTCAACAAACATTAAGCATTTATTAATTATTTTAGTGTAAAATATACTGCTTTGATTTCCGCTTTAAAATCACAGATTGGAGTATAGTATGAATGCTGATTTAAATAAGGCAAAACAGTACAGATTTATAACATCAGCCATCATATTATTTATCGACTAAACTTTCTTGATCAACGCATCCGTAATCAACCTTAAACATGATGCATAAGAACAACAACATGAGAAAGAAAAACCTGCCTGGTGTGAAATAAATGGGAGCAGAAGCAGAGTTTGCCATGACTTTGACCTTGTCTGCAGTATCTATCTTAAACACACACAAATGTGCCACGGCCTTCTGTCCTGCAGCGTCTCCTTGCTCTCACGACCTTCACGTCCAGCAGGGGAAACTTCTGCATGCTTCCGGCTGTAAGTTATTCAAGAATAAGCTTTGAATAATTGTCCCGCAATATGAGTCTCTCTGATTAATTGCCTGAGATAAGAGCAGCTTCTCTCTCGTTCTGTGGCTCCGGCGCTCACTGCAGGGCCCTGCCGAGTCCCCTAATCACAACACACACCGTTTATCTGAGAGTGTGGAGATCCAGCTTTGCTTGGGTTCACATGCAAGAGTAGGTTTAACACAGACTTGAGCAAAATATTAAAGGAAGTACATTAATAGCATGCATCAAAGTGTACATGAATCTAGGCAGTGTAGTCAAAGACACAATATGATTCATTTTGTATCAGGGCAGCCATAGTTATCATCTACATATTACATATTTTCCCTTTAATATATAACATTTGAATTGCTATGTAAATGAATAAGTCTATAAATAAAAATAGAAATATAGCATTTCTTTTCAATCATAGAATTATATAGAACAAGTTTATTTCCTAAGTAAATTCTAATTATAATATACTTAATTTAATCATTATAATAATATAATAGATAATTATAATATTTAGAATTCATGTTATATATTTTGTATATTTGTACAGTATAATTCTACATTAAAATGCACATATTAATTATAATTAATATATTAAATAGGTTTGTGGTAAAGTCTATTCTTGGATAATCCTCTGAACTTCACAAATGAAGGCACTGTAAAAAATGACAGTGAATTTAACGGTAAAAGACTGTAAAAATGCTACAGTAAAAACCTGTTAAATGGTTAACAGTAAATTCCCTTACTATATACGGTGGAAAAACTGTATTGGACATTACAAGTATTGGACATTAATTTTACGGTAGTATACCGTTTTTGGAAGTGAAAAAGACCGTATAATTTACAGGGAATAACCGTAAATTGACATTCCCAGAATTCCCTGCGTTAAATTTCAAATGTGATGTTTTTTTGTTGACGGATTTTTTTTTACTGTGTACTTTATCTCATTCGATTTTTTACTTTAGTTTTATTCATTTTACTTGATAAAAATAACTTGTGCAAACTGAAAGATATGGTTCTTTATGACAAATGATCAAATGAATGAAGTCAGACATCAGTACAAAACAACTTATATGACAAAAAAAAACTCAAACTAATTACAAACATAATTCTGAACAGATTTCTGACTGTATGAGTTACTTTCAAATCTGTTTAAAATAGATTACCTATATGTTCATCTGTGACCCTGGACCACAAAAACCAGTCATAAGGGTCAATTTTTTGAAATTGAGATTTATACATCATCTGAAAGCTGAATAAATAAACTTTTAGGATAGGACGATATTTGGCCGAGATACAACTATTTGAAAATCTGGAATCTGAGGATGCAAAAAAATCTAAATACTGAGAAAATCGCCTTTAAAGTTG